AGGACATCTTGTTCGGAACTGCGGAGAACTCAAAGCAAGAACAATCTAACCCATCTCCTCGTGCAACGCCGAGACCTTCCAAGTCTAGCTCTGGACAGTCTACTCCCGTCAAGTCTGCCCTTAAACCCGGGTCAATTCACAGTTCACGTGGCGCCAGCCCGGCGGCCACTTCATCAACCTTATCTGGTGCGGCCCACGTTGCCAAACGCGCTGTCAGTTCGCCGAAGAAGTCTGCTAGTCGTGCAGGATCGCCAATAGGAAACACTTCCCGCGCTGGGAGCCCCCTTGCTGGTGATTCTCCCAGTCGTGCCGGCAGTCCAGTACGAGATGCTGGACGAACAAGCACTCCCGCAAATGCAGCCGCAACTTCATCACGCGCTACAAGTTCAATTCAAAGTCAACCTCGCCCTACTCTCAGTCCAAATCCCCGTCCCACCCCAAGTGCACCACCATCTAACCCTGTCAAGAAACGAAAAGCACCGGAAGATGGGGGCCCACCCGCAGCCAAATCTGACACTATATCTACTAAGAAGCCGAAGAAAGAGGCCAGGGCACCCTTCGATGGTATGCTCACCGATGGGCCCGTCATTGAGTTCCTTCGCCAGCATCCTTCTGGAGTCGCCTCCAAGGAAATTGTCAATCACTTTAATGAATGGTTGACAAAGGACGAACGGAACAAGACGGTACTCACTGAGATCGTCAAGCGGGTCGGTAAATACGAGAAGATTGACGGAGCATATGTAGTTACCCTCAAAGCCACTTAATTTTTTTTAAATTGTTTCGACACTCATTGACCCAACCACATGTACAACTTATTTGTCCCCACAATCCATCGTGATTTTGACTATCCCCTTATCTCTGTTACAGTGCTGACAATGTCGAATGCTGAGTTATCGATAATGAATATTCCCGGAACCATGCGTCTAACAGTGAGTCAAATAAATCCTATCTCAGTGATCACTCAGTGATGCCCAACTGGTTCTCTGATACATTATGTTAGCAAAACGCAGCAGCCCCCCAGCATTTACAAACCCAATTCATCTGATTGTATCCTTCACAAAGGTCTAGAACTTAAAGTTAGAAACCCTAATTCTACGCGCGCCAGCGCACAGCCACGCTACTGTTTCCATTAATCTGCTTAGGATGAAGCACGGTTTGTGGATGGTGCTCTGAAAGAAACATAATCTCCTGACCCGCCTCTCTTAAGTCTGGTTGGACTGTGATCCAGTTCGTCCGGTCTAATTACCCCTATCACCTGCCTGACGTATTCACAAAGTGTAACCTCCACAAAGGGACATGATGACGCTTGTGCTATACTTCTTGCAACAAGTCTACCGTCAGATATAAATCTTGTTGGTCTATCTACGGTTCACGGGAATGCTAGGTCGGCATTTGAGCTATCTTTGGTTTGGCTTGTTCACCCATTTCGCGGGCAGTGGGGAATGCACTCTTTCAAATGCGATAAGACTTATCCACATGTTTTCCCCCCAGCATGATGCATTGGTCGTTCACCCAGGGGCCCCCAAGCCATTAATAAGGCCATCGAGGTACGTGGCTGCATTTTGAGCGCGGGTTCATTTTCTGCCCGTGAGTGCAAGCACTCACAAACATGGGTCTCGAATCCAAGAGCCGATCCTGAAATTCATGGACCTGACGGTTTGGGGGGAGTCGTTGGGCTTCCACCTCTAAATCACCCTGTCATTCTTTCTCGCCTCGAAAGCTCCCATACCGCGAATGCGGTGGAAGGCCTTGCCGCTGCTGCAAAGCTTGCAATTAGCTCTGGCTACAAGATACATCTGGTAGCCACAGGGCCCCTTACCAATCTTGCCCTCTTTATATCTGTTTATCCTTATTTGTTGTCCGCGTTCGAGGAAGTTTGCTTCATGGGAGGCGGTGAGCATTCATGATCTGGCCCTGAGTCTCGCTCCTGATTGGTACACCCGGCCAAGGTGTGGGCATTGGGAATCGGGGTGCAGTAGCCGGTGAATACTAACTTCTTGACTGATTTGACATTTTGTGACGATTGTTTACTAGAATTCAATATTCTTTGTGACCCTGAAGCTGCTCAGATTGTCGTGGACGCACCAATTCGAAAGGTCGAATCTTCTCCTTATGTCGGGATTCTGCAATGCACTAATTTATGGCTCTCTGACGAAAGACAATGATTCCTCTGAATGTCACGCATAAAGCCATAGTCACAGAAACGTTGCAGAGGAGGCTTCTGAATGAATGTTCGGAGCGAGGCTTGTCAAATACCACAACACCACTCCGCCATACGCTTCACAGCATAGTCTCCTACTTTGCCGCTTCATATAAATCTGTGTTTGGCTTCAATGATGGGCCACCACTGCATGACGCACTCACGATCGCGTATGTTGCTCGACCAGAATTGTTCAGGGCCACAAGATACAGGGTCGATGTAGACTGTATTTCAACTCTGGGGACAGGTCAAACTGTCGTAGACGCATTCAACTATCGAGATTACGATGATTCGTGGGGCTCAACAGGCAAGAACGTTCTTGTTGCGGAAGGAATTGATGTATGTTCACCTTAGTGCGGTTGCACCTCAATCTTGATCTGCATTCCTTATAGGTCCCAGCATTTTTCGAGCTCTTTTTTGAATGTGTCGACCGTTGTGATACCGTTTCCCGCCTCAACCTAGCTGCTTAGGGTGGACGCATAGGCGAATTCTCATTGTCATAATGTCCGCAAAAATACAACGAGCCAACCATGTAAAGCTGGCATACTAAGTAGTCTGTAGAGATGCAGTGCAAATGAACACAAGGTCCACCGGATCACCGATCTTTGTTCAGGGTGTCAGATTTGAAGCACGGATTCACTGCCAATGGTGAGACTCATACTTTGATCTCTGTTCGACTCGGCAGCTCCACTTATTATCGAAACTGAGACGACCGCATACCAGTAGCTCACACATCGGCTTCTCCATGACAAGATAAGCATTGTCATTAGGGGCAATGCCATTCGCAGTTTGCTGACTTGAAACCCAAATCTGTGACGACTCTCTAAGACGCTTAAGAGCTAGCCCAAAAACAGTATTCCTGTTTTCACCTGCAAACTAGATGAGAAAACGAAAAGATATCTTCGGGCCCTCCATAGTCTATCACAATTGCTTTATTTCTCCAACGCCCGCAGAATTGCAAGCGATAAATTTCTACAGCTTGGGCTCAGTTGAAGGACTCCCCGGTCTAACAGGGGCAGGTCCACCTGCATTGTGGGAATAAAGCAGGCAGGCGTCAAGTGGAGCGAAAAGCTTCCTTTGGACTTCCAGCTCCTTTTTCATCATATCCATGTTTGAAATGAGAGCTACTGCGGATTGCATCAAGGACCAAGGAGTTACTATGAGGAATCATTAGGAGACATGCCGCAGCACTGCCAAAGGTCGGTTTACTACACGCTGCTACTTCTAGATGCGGCATTTCTCCTAAGAAAGCGAAGAGACTCTATCTCTACGATTGGCCGCATTCGCTACGAAGCAAAGGAAAGTTGAGGCAATTGGCACGTGGCTTGGTCGCCTTCATGTCTCGCAGCTGGTAAGCGGGGAGTACATGATTCTCAACTTGAGTGAAAGCATCAAGCTTGAATCCACGAACAGAAAGGTGGACATGTTCAGCATATTTCCGGCGGCAAGGATAACCTGGTATGGTATATTCACGGCTCCATGCGCATAAATCAATTGCCGTTCGGAAAATAAACAACTCAGGGCGAAGCTCGAGATCGAGTTGGCACCTAAACAACATACACGTGAGCCGAGTATCCAGACACGGAATGTGGAATATCTGTGGTATCAACGCTAAAGCGAAGGAAACAGAGCGTCGGAAAAATTAGCCTCTACGAAGTATTGGTCAGCCCGTGGTTGCTTTTGTTTGAGATGTGCCCCATTCACCAAAGTCAATTGAGCAGCATGCAGTTCCGGTTGCCAGCAGGATGTCGAGACGCTCAAGATTGTAATACTGGTCCAAACAACTGATGATACCGTAGGCATGGTGCATTGATAGGCGTCTGGAGAAGCAATAAGGGCCTTGGGCCAAGTTAATTGGCACTTGAGCACTTGAGCATCGTTGGACAGGAATCAGAGTTGAACTGTACAGTTTGCACTGTTGCCGGATGCAAAATTTGAATCGAGTCTTCATCCAACCTCAACCGGCCAGCCATGGAAAACGATCAAGTAGAGGATTTACAAGGTCTCTTATTTTACTGAGATTGATGCTATTGTTTTGTAGGGTATTCTCGTTGACCTTTATATTCCTCGTAAATGCGCTGCGACCAGTTGAGTATACACATCCCTCATGCGTGGTCGGCAGCCTTATAATGCACTAATCTATCGCTGCGATACTACTTCCTTTGTGTTCCCTCTGACAGGTCGTCTGATTGCTGCAAATGATCGCTCTTCAATTCAAATATCCGTCGCCGATGTCGACGCTGAGGGAAAGCTTCTCCCTACTTCGACTTCGTTCGCCATTTCTGGGCAGGTCCGCGCTAGCGGTGAGAGCGATGATGCAATCAACCGCGTGGCAACAAAAGAAGGGTGTACGTGGTATACTTTTTACTGCCACTTTGCTTGGGAACCAGCTCACATTTTTTTCCCTTTTCTGAACAGTACTACAGACTGTTTGGTCGTACCAGAAATAGAATCCTATAGTTTTCCATCCCGGTTCTGTCATCTGTTGTGCTCTACGTATGGCAGACAAATAATACTCCACCCTAGAAATTAGGGTTCGCATCAACTGCGGAGAGTTCTGAACCGCTTCAGTCTGTGCATGTTCTTGCATGTTGGCCCCAATCTGTGCTCATGCTGCTCTGCCTTAGCTTGAATATCGCCTTAGAATCGTACAGTAGAAACCGCGGCCAATCATTACATCAAGGGAATGCTGCCCATGGTATGCTGAGGTAAATTGGCGTGCTACAGTAATCCCGCCTTACATAGTGTAGTACACACGTGGACAAAGTAGGATGATCGATGAAGGAAACCAAACCCTTCAATGGATATGCACTTGCATATTGAACCAAATACGGACCCGACCTCTCGTTGGGACCTTAGCTCGGAACACCGCCAACCGGCAGTTGGTCGGGCATACATTGACCCAAACGTTGTTAAAGGGAACCTTCATCCAATTTTATTCAATTTCCTGACAATCGGCATCGGACTGATCGAACGTAAGAGTGCTTCGTTGTCTAATAATCCCCAGAACCCTATTCCACACCAAGGGCCAGGGAGGTCTGCTGAACAAGTGAGAGGTAAGAGGGAATTGGCCAGGGGATGGTGCAAAGTGCGACGGTAGACTTTGGAGAGGGAAAAGGTTTTGCGGCCTATGTTCACTTGTCAGTAACGCAGAGTCTAGTGACTACTCAGGTGAATGGGCTGGCGGGGAGTCACAGCCGGGACCGAGGGGGACCCTAGTACTTACCTCGGATAAGCCAAATGGCGCTACAGCAAGGGATAGCAGGTTGAACGAAAGGTGGACACGATGTCGCAAAGGATGGCGCTATTTCCAAAAAAGCCAACATACATAGTTATGAACCGTTCACCAGTACTGAACGCCGCAATAGTCATTGTGTCCAAGCGCGGCAGTTTTGAAGACGAAGCGAAACGAGAAACAGCGAAGAAAGGGTCCCAACCTCTGGCCAGTGAACATACTCAAAACTCCGCGGCGACAATGCAGGAGGCATCGCGATCGCCACTCCAACCTGATGAAATGAAGTTGCATCTCATCGTCCGCATCACATCAAGCGGACCGTCTCCGGAATATGCCAAGTCAAATATCTCTAAGAACCCTATTCCATCATTTTGCGTTGGGGGTCTCATCCGGCGCGAACATTAATGTTCCTGAGCGTAAGGTATATGCACTGTCCCATAAGAGGTCCAGGCCGCAACGGAGAGAACTCGGGCCTCACATACCAGGAGGGTAAGTTCTAAAACGGTCTGGAAAAATTCCGCCACGACAAGGACAGAACAAACCGTTTTTGGTCATGGGTAGAGAAGAGAGGGGTGTTGCCAGAGTCCCATGATGCCCAGTTCTGCGATATCAAGCACCGACTAAATGTTCGAAAGGAGATGATTGAAGCAAGTTTGTCTGAGGAGGATACGGAGGGGCACACAGTAAAACAGTGTGTGTGGGGGGGGGGGGGGGGGGGGCGAGGGTACAGGGGGCGGAGTTGTGAGGGGCGATCGGTCCCAGCTGGTGTTAATTATCAGAAGGGTTAGTGTGAAATGGCATACAACCCCTCTGAGCGGGGAATAAAACCCTTGGAAACAGCAATAGCCGAGTTTTCGAGGGAACAGCGTCCGAATGGCAAGCATGTATTGAACGGAGATCGAATGCACTGAACTGGTGGAAATTATCCATTGCGCCTGCCAAATGCGAGGAAGACCGACAAAAGCTACGGAGCGGACTAGGGCAATCACTGGGCATCTTGCCTGTATTTGACAAAAGAGACTGTGAAGCAACTTCAACCCATTCAGGGCCACACGTGATTCTCCCTTGCTCAGTCATGGCGATTTTGGCTGTCTTCTCAAACGCGAATGTGCGATTTGAGAGTGCCAAGCGAGATAAGGACCGATGGCCCACTGCCCAGCACCATTACCGTGGGCGTTGGTCGCCTTTTTCATGCTGACGACAAAAGGGATGGGGATTCGGGAAGCCTGGGCGGATTCTCGATTAAATGCTGGGAACGACATCGCAAACTGCCCAATTTTTGAGTTACGATGCTCACCGGAAAACTCGTTGATAACACACAAACTTGGTCCTCGCCGCCATATGTTCATCTCCGATGGACATGTAACTCGCTCTCTGGGCCTCTACCACAAGTGGCGGGTTTGGACCGGACAGCCCAACACCCAAGGATCCTAGAACCCGCAGGTTGCCTTTTAGTGGCGAGCACGGTCATCAGGGCTTACGATGGAGATAAGCGATGCGCGACGGTGCAGTCGATTCAACTGTTTTGACCTGGTTCATGGCTGGACGACTCCTCGGGCTGCTCGCCACTTTCATGACAGCTACATGGGCCATTTCCGATCCATGTGTTTTGACGATTAACTTTGTCGCAATTGATGGCGTGCAGCTTACACCTCCCACTACCTCTCTCCGGTGTTCGATATCCACAGATGAGTCCGCCAATCTTGTTATTTCATGCATGAAACTTGGTTCTTAAGTACAAGGGTGGTCCTCTGCTTCAGCAATCCGCCAGACACAGGTGTCTTATCGATTCTCGCATTGAGAAACCGTGCATTCAAGACTGATATGAAAAGTGGCAGGAATGGATGATGATGTTATTTTGTACCCCACGCGAATGGGCCAGTGGTATAGCTATGAGATTACATAAGTGAAGTGTCCTCGGCTGCGCGTAGCCCGTTGCCTCTGTAGTACGAGGGCAGCTAATTTCGGCGAGAGCCGCCATGTTCTTACCAATTCGTAGCTCTCAGAACGTTCCGCACATAACAGCTTCATCCCTTCGCTGCAACAATGCGGACGTACCAACGTCATCTTTGATAAAACCCGTGCAGCCAACATACATATGTTCCCCTGCCAACAAAGACACCCGCAATGATGATCATAACTCGTCAGACATCCAATCTCATGCTTCAGGACCCGATCGACGGGGCAAGCCTTCACCAGTGTCAACCAGGAGAGTCATGGCAGGACGAAGGCCGATCGACCCGCATTTTCTCCAGCGACAGCAGATATAGTTAAGTGTGTGTGCGTGTGGTGGTGGTGGTGGTGGTGGTGGGGGGGGGGTCAGCTGCCCAGACTTCATATAATATGGAGTTGGAAATGATAATAAACTCTGTGTGTTCCTAATATACGACGGGCGTTCGGGAAAGGAGGAATAATCGAGTCTCGACGACGAAAGATACGTGTCTTTCCCGGATGGACCTTGCCGATATCGTTTATTGGGGCATGTCTTAGGTTTCAGGATCCAAGTGTCAACGCGCGGGTTGAAGGTCACAAGACTGATGATAGGAGGTCTATTTGCCGAGGACCCGTGATTCGCGATTCGAGAAAGTTAATATGCCTCCTGAAAGAAACCGCGATCTCAGGATTAGGCAGGATATCAAGCTCTATGATAACTCAGGCCCCCTGCTGATTGGTTCTCGGCCCTCTAGCACTTATGAGTCAGGAACAGTGCGCGGCGCAAGATGAACTTGAACCGGATGGTGAAAGGGACAGCCCTAGCAGACGGAAGGACAGCACTGGAGTGGGCAGTTCATCTCTAATATTTTGGGGATTTCTTTCGCCATTCCGGGACATGAACTGAGCCGACGTAGATTTCGCGCGCAGCTTAAGGGGCCCTTGCTCCGCGCGGGCATCGGTGGGTCCACGGTAGGAGTATGAAAGCACAGGGACTCGGTAGCAATGGACACCCGTCATGTGGGCCGTTGCAGGTTGGTTCTGGTTCATGCAATATGGCAGTCATGCACAACTCAGGTCGCGATTACTTGTGCTCCTATTCAAATAGTTTTGACGGTCGTCGGTGTACCCGTCCAGCTGCACACAGGCTAGCCTCAACAGAAGGTCAATAGCCCATCTACTTGTTCAGAAGTCAGTGCTACGAATGACATCCTTCCAATCCTCCATCATTTTGAGCTGCTCGCTCAAGCGCTTCGTCACAGAGACGTATGCATCTGGTCCTACGGGAAAACTGATAGGGACCTCCTTGTCTCCCCTCTGCTCCTTCGAGAATGGCCCTTCTAGTTTCACGTAGTCAATCAACAATTTCACGAACTTCTTCGGATCCCCGGGTTGGTTATTATAAGCAGCTTTGTACCTAGTTACCCAAGGTTCCAATATAGTTTTGTAGTCTTCGACGCGGTTAACGTATTCAACGGTGGGTTTCCCTGGGTTCATACCAGCCGTGCGGAACATGCCAGGCTCGAGCACGATCGAACGTAAGCCCAGAGGCGAAATTTCTTCATGGAGAGTTTCTGCGATGGCCCGGATGGCATGCTTGGTGCCCGAATAAAGGGCAAATCCTGATTGGCAAGACCATTAATCGCACGGTCGCAAAAATGATCCGGGTTTGAACGAGGCTCACCCAGTGCCCCAAACCATCCAACCATGGAGCCAATCCAGACGATGGTTCCCGTTTTGGCTTTGCGCTGATATGGCAAGAACGCGCGGGCGACGTTCAGACCTCCCAACACATTCACGCTGAAATTCAAGTCAGTGTGATAAATGGTGACTACTATGCGTCCGTTATCTTACTTGAATTGTTCTAGGGTTTCTTCAGGACTACGTTGGGAACATCATTGGGCAGACTTGAACGGGCGTCAATAATCGAATCTCTCACGTTCGCTCTTCTAAAGCACCAAGAATGGCATATCCCGCGTTGTTCACGACGACATCGATCCTTCCGTATATGCTATGTGCTGCCTCAGCGACGTACTTCACCTCCTCGAGTGGAGATGCCACATCCAACTCGAGAACTGAAGCCCCTGCCTCCTTGAGGCCCTCGATGGCGGACAGTTGGCGGGCGGTTGCGATTACTTTGTCTCCATGCTGAAGGGCGGCGAGGGTGAGGTCGTGACCGAAGCCAGAACTGCACATAGCACGCACGTCAATGCCGTGTACGGGGAAGGTATCTCCATGACTCACCTAGTTCCAGTGATGAACCAGACGAGCGATTCGGATGACATTCCACTACTCTATATAGGCGGGGGGTGTCCCGAGTTGATGAGAACCTATGGCCGTGAAGGCCCGCATTTTATGCTTTCAGGAATACCTAAGAGCGGCACGACCTTGTAATCCAACACAGGGATTTGTTGAGGGATGAATAGCCTATGCCCCAAGGGGCAGCGCATGTGGAGTTTCCGTCAAGTTCGACTCCGTGACGTCCGGGCTTCTCGTGATTGTCAGTGTCAAGAGGCCACCGTCCGCATAAACTCATAAACGTGGACTCCCTGGGAGTGCGGTCAGAGCGAGTTTGGTCACTACGATGGCTAGTTGAAAGTGGGAATCACCCACTTTAATGTCCGATTGGTCTGGCATAATCATTTGAGCACGGTAGTACTGTAAGTCCGAGACCGCAAGGTGAGTCCCCTGTCACGTGTAGACACCGATAAATTAAGGCTTCGGAGTTGGCCGAATGCAGCGGAGTTGTCCGAATAATTGCGAGGCTTTATATTGAACACTCGGTTCCTGGGACCTCGGACACTTGTATTCGGTGATCTCGGCACAAGGATGTTCACACTGTTACTTCTCAGTTTCCTTATCGTGAGTGCCACCGCGACCGGGGCCGGAGGTGCGGGCAATGCTAGATCAAAACGTAGTATAAATGATACTGGCAGTGCAATAATGGCGGGCGGAGTGGGAAAGTGTCATCGTGATGAGTAAGTTGGCATGCAAGTCTTGAATCATTAGTCAATGAACTGAGGCTTGGCCTTCACATCAGCCGCCGACGACGACCCGAAACCTGCCGTGGACCACCCCTGGTCGGCATCATCCTTGGATTCATTTTTGGGGGTTCGTCATTCAGCTTCGTTTCTTCCTGCTCCTTGACTCTCTTTTCCGTAGCATTCTTTTTGGGCATACTTGTCTGGGCAATTATCTGGTGGTGGTCCAAACGAAGAAAGAAATTGGGAGTTAACCCTGTTAACGCAAAGGGACGTGCACGCGATTTGGAGGCGTCGCCACCTGCTCCACTTCGTAAGGTGGAGAAGCCATGGCTCCCATTCTCTGTAGCTCGATTGTTTTCCAAGTACAAAAGGGTTCCGGATCCACCTGATACGCCTAGAATCGTCATCGATGACATTACTGATGTTGAGGCCAAGAAGTCCGGCCTCCATCGCAATGGATCTCAATTTGCAGCATTGCCCTCGCTTTCATCCGAGGCGTCCGTTCCTTTGCCACCCTACCAAAGTACCTCCTCAACGCCTGAACCCAATATCACCTCTCCAAAGCTGGCGCCAATACGCGTACCTTCCGACGACAATGCGCCAGCGTCACCGTCGCCTAGCTCGTCATCACCCAAGCTGCCCGCCCCCGAATTGCCTCCGCCACTCACAATGCCATTCCTTCGCACATCATCTGAGTTGTAGCCCAGTTACAGTCACACAGACTACGATGAATATACCCCATTGAGTTTAGGGTATGTTTCGGTTTGATCTGTTTGGACCGCAACTTATTTCTGCAAGTAGATTTTGGAGTCCAATTTGCTCGCTAAAATTGATTGATGTTCCCCAATTATCATATTCCTTATCACAGAAGCAGCGAGCCCTTCCGATCATTCCCTACTTCGTTCCAGCTTCCAGTTCAAAGCATATGCATTCTCTGCCGCGGTGATCTGCCGCTCTTTACTTCAGCTTCCGACCCAAGCCAACTAGGGACATGAGTTTTTCATGCATAGAATTAGTTATACCCCTTAGTTTATGCTTGCACCACAATCACTGCTGATTTCTCATGATGGTGAATTTTAATTCAGTGTGCTCAAGTTCTGGTTGAACATTGCAATTGGGGGAAACCAACAAAATAACGCAGTTTCGTCGTCACCTGGACCTTCTCACGATGCCACGTGAAGAGACACTTCCTCTGGATCTCACTATTTTTGACAAATTTGCTCTTGGCTGCGCAGCTAAATGTCAGCAAGTGCTGACTACAAAAAACTTGCTTCGATATATGGTATATTTCCTCTGCTGCAAGCACATCGCCGTCGCTTAACCCGTCGATTTTGAGACGCATTGGACTCTGGTGCGCATAGGGCCGCACTCCAGACATGCAACAAACTTTTGAAAAAAAATCCCAAATCTCAAATAATAAGGGTAACGTCGTAGCTTTATGTGTGGTTAAAATAACATGCTGACGCGATGCAGGCTCTAAAATCCTTGGCGTTGTATCGAAGTGGCAAGCTTCAAGATGCTTCTCAGGAATGTGACGAAGTTCTAAAAGAGCATCCTACCGATCACGACGTTCTCTCAACTCTTGCACTGACTTTGCGCCAGCTTACTCGGCACGGAGACGCAGTCAACATGTATGAGGATGCGTTTAAGAAGACACCCAATAACGAAGAACTTGGTGTACAAACGTTCTTTGCGAACATTCGGGTCGGAAGCTGGAAGGCCGCTCAACAAATTTCTCTAAAATTGAGCAAAGCATATCTCTCGAATTTCAGATACGTCTTCTGGAGTGCTACTAGCGCGTACTTACAAGCTGGTGACCCAGCTACGGCGCCGGCTGTGAAACCCATGCTTTTGACTCTGGCATTACGGATGCTATCTCAATTACCACCCGCACAGGATTCCTTATCATCCCCCGAAAAGCTCTCCCTTCACATTGAGATCCTTCTCTCCTACGATGAGCCGAAATTACAGGACGCATATGACCTTTTGTCGTCTGAACGGGGACGTTCTCTTGCCAGATTTAGTTTGGCAATTGAAGAGAGGCGGAGCGAGATATGGCTTAAGCTGAAGAAATTCCCTGAGGAGAAAGAGCTTAGTGAGAAAAAACTTGCTTCGGGGTGAGTCACTTCCATGGGTGGCGTTCCAACGTTTAGTAACAAGACTTGGAATAGCGATCGAAACTGGTTGACATTCCTTTCATACGTACAGTCAATTACCGGACTATGTTCTTCCCTAGAGGACGAGCCTTCTACAAGCTTGGCAAACGATGCTTTCTCACTCTTGTCATCCCTTGCTTCTAAAGATGGTGAAACAGAACGTGGCGCTCATCTGGCTGTTCTGGAGCTTTCCACAAGCATAAAGAAACTCAATAAAGATTCCATAACCATTCCCCAACCCTTACCAGATGCGATACGAGCATATTTCGATCTTTTCTCAAATAAACCTTGTTGTTTCGAGGATTTGAAGCCTTACATTGTTGAATTAGTAGACGAGGAGAAGGAAGCGGTGTCTTCTTTCCTTGCTTCTCAAAAACTTTCTGTACGTCATGATCGCACATTAAACCGATGATCGCATTGAACATTATGAGCAGGTATCAACATCAAACGAGCTCAGGCGAACAGTCAACGTGATAAAGTTCGTTCGATATATGCAACTCGGTTCTTCAGACGAGTTGGAGGACGGCGTGAGATATTTCCAGATGTATCTGACCGCACTACCTCTCGGTCGTAACCTTCCAACTACCGAGTTACAGCCAGCGGACGATCTCGCGTTGCTTGCAGCAAACTGCTTTGTACAATCATGGGCTGATCAGGGGAAAAGTGAGTGTGAGGCTGAATTGTCTACCCAACGTGTTCCCAATAAGATGTTGTTAGGAAATTTGGCACCACTGCATCAAGCAATGGTAGTACTGGAATTCGCCTCTCAGCATAGTGCAACGAATTTCCAAGTTCGCCTATTGCTAATTCGGATCTACATTCTTCTTGGTGTGTAACTCTTAAATCCATGATTTTTTTTTTCGCATGAATTTCATCAAACTTTGTAGGCGCATACTCCCTGGCTGTACAGCACTATAAGAAGCTTGATATCAAGTCGGTCCAGAACGAAACCTTGTCGCATTTTATTCTGTCTCGTGCCACGTCATTTTCTTTGGCAAACAATGGGGACCTTTCCGTTCTCGAGGAGGCGGTCTTGGCTTCTCAAATATATCAAGAAAATATAAATGATGTAGGTACATGTTTCCTGTGGCAGCGTCGAACTCACTTGTGCACTTCGTAGACTCCAGGACTGTTGATTAAAGTATTCCTGAATGAAAAGTACTCTCAGGCATGGTCTCTACCTTATCCCTCAATGTCACCGTTCTTACGTGTGTCATTCAAGATACCAGGTTTTATCCTCTTTGAAGACCGACTTGACCGTTCGTTGCAAAGACATCTCGTCAAGATAGACCAGTTACGGATGCGCTTGCTAGTCGAACCACCGACGCACGAGACCCTTCCAGCAGAGATTGAGGATCTTGATCTAATGCACTTTGGAGATATCGGTGAGTCGCTCAAAGGATGGAGGGCGACGATATCTGATTTGCGGTTGACCCCAGTTCGCCACGATAACCGTGATTATTCTGTGCTGCCCCACTATCAGCGTCGCGGTATCTCCGTCGAGGAGCAATTATCGGCAGGTCCCCGACAAACGGTATGCTGACGTTGCCCGCATGTGGCCGTGCTTCCTGACGGATATACCAGGCACATTGGTATTCAGTATTCTTAAAAATCTACCTTCGTGCCATGAATCGAGCCTTCGATCCAGCTTTTTCCTCTCCGATGCTTTTCAGCCCATCACGCGGTGATGGACACGACGTATGCATTTATTTTCACATCGTGTGCGTTCAACTCATTCATCGAATGGTAGCTCACCGAAGGGGAGGCATTACTCGAACGTTATTCAGACGTCCTGGGGAGCTGCTTGCATCCCCCGAGTGGAAGTGTTAATGCGAAAGATGTCACCGACAAGTACTTTGCAGGGTCGGGTGCCGGCGTCCGGAGCCAAGCTTTAGCAAATGGTAAAGGGGCAAATGGTGATGGTAAGTGTATGTTGTGCCCTGGAATATTTTACCGATGCCCCTTAGCAGTACCTAGTGTGGCCACCTCCGAGCGGGATTCAGCTACTTTAGATGACGCCCTCCAGTTAGTCGATGGTTCGTAACTTGATTTGGCAGTTCTTTACTTCGTTTCTAATGAGTCCTGTGCCAGAACTTACCCAGAAGGTGACGAGAAGTACAGAGGGAGATTCGTTGCCCTGGGAAGTTTTGCATTCAGCGACACTCGCCCAAGAGGTTAGTTTTTGGCTGACGGTGCCCTTGCACGTCCCGTGTTTACACGACTTCTTTATGTGACAGGCATTTGTTCTCTTTGACATTCAATCACATCAATTCGGACCAGTGGGATGGAACGGGAAGTCAAAGAAAACCGATCCAGTAAATATGTCTCTCCCTTTCTTGGCTTGTCTGCATTCTTACAACTTCGACAGCTGTGGTTGTCGATCAAAGCAGCTCGGACAACCATTTGCGAGAAACTGAAGACTCTTGCCTCATTGCTACAAACTTACGCGACCTCCCATGGCTCAGAAGAAACTCGAGCCAAGTTCATTGAAGATAGCAATTCATTGTATTCTGAAGAGGAACATGGAGAGGTACATTATTGCGTCTGTGCCAGCTTGTCCAGTTACTGACTACTGATTTAGTTGTCGGATTTTGCTGCGACAGTTTGGAAAAACTACCTCCATGCCCGCCAGGTAATGTTCGAAAATATGAGCAACGGTTTGAGGAATATTGCGGAAGAGAAGCGTCCGAATGCTTAGATCTGGGGCATCCGTGGGAAGCGATACAGTGTAGATTGCATTTGTGAATTATTGCAGCATGTTCTACTACAGGTTCACAAGGCAGATATGAGTGGAGAAAAGGCTGTTTCATAAAGTCTGTCAAGCTCCGCATAATGACCCGAATCAGTTGCCTGGCTGTCATTCAAGAAATCCAGCTGATGCACGGCATCATCGCTCTCAATGTACCTAACAGCAGTAACGGCCCAGATGAAGAGTCGATCGGCTTTCTTTGCAGGAGCAGAGACCATGGCGACTGACAGCCACCCATCATAGACAACGCCACCAAAATCGTTCTTCAGTTGGCCCTGAAGATATAACTCGATGTCATGCAGAGCGGTGTGCTTATCGACTTCATGGATCACCATCTGCAGCGACATGATATTTACGCCGGCTTGTGATAAGTATACACGGAGGCCAGAGATGCGGGGATAATGTTTCTTTCGCCCCATCCACTCCGTCTCGCGCACACTCATCTAGAACATCAATTACTAAGGGAAGAGGGTCGGAAACCTCGATACCTCGGTGATGCTTGGTGACATGGCCCCACAATGTCGGGACGTCATGACCATCATCGTTGAGGATCGACCGCTGTTTGGACGTACAGGAAGACGGGGCATCTTTGTCTGACGGTGCATCGTCCACCGCTTCCGCGCGCGCTGGCAGGCAGATTCTACTTGATCCGGTGATGGTCGCTGCGACAAAACCTGGCCCGTCCGTGGCCTTCGACGAAAACAAAGGTCTGTGTCAAGTCAAAAATCTCAAGACCGTCTAGTGATGTTATAGCATAGCTGGGGCCTCGCTAAAGGGGACATAGATGAAAACGCAGTAAGCGGGAAGCCCTTTGGTAGCCCTCGCAGTGGCATGAAAATCAAGTCCTCAGCCCCTCTGCATTGGAAGAAACCTGTTTACCGTCTCATTAATCTTCCAGGCGACCATGGGAATCTCAATTTCAAGTTCCAATGATAAGTTGTTACCCATCACATGAGCACATGAGCGAGGTGTGTCCAGGCAGGATTGACGCTGTGTATTATGCGCAGGGTAAAGAAATTATGATATGATCAATCATTCGACAGGCGAAGGATGTCAGTGCCGTGAGTGAGAAGGGGAATTCATAATGAAACCCTCGAGCAGACTGAACAACGCGCAGTCAATGCCCAATTTGGGATTGGTTCGATCCCAGGTTCCCAACTGACGGGCAGTGATACACAAAAGTCAGCGATGATTAATAAGGCATCGCCTCGAATGTCCGAAAGGCAGGACAATGGGCACGGTGTACGACCTCAGCTTCGCATTCGCATTCGCATTTGCACTCCCAGACAAAACCCACTGACATGTACGGTAGATCACTGAGCGCAACACGCATCAATGACGATTGAATGACCCATCTCCGATACTCAAAGAGGTCATAGTATCTCTAGTTCCTGGGTTCTAACGCGGAAGGCGTACCATGGAAGATTTGTTACCGAGTGCAAGGAGAAAAAACACTCTCATCCGTCCATACGATGCGGACAGGTTACTAAGTCGCCGGTGATGTCATCTGGTTTACCGAACGAAGGGTATTCCCACCATTGGTGAGAGAGGATTCACAGCTGATACTATTGGACATTGTTTGATTGGTCTGAATCCATTAACGCAATGAAGTTGCGGCCAAAGAAAATCGGCACGACTCTGACGGTCTGGACCACGATTGAACGCAAATGGGTTAGAGCTGATGGCGCCTGTGTTGTATCGCACAGGGTCTCCAGATATTCACCAGTCTGAGCACAGCTAGCAATTGGGATGGGGAGGTGACTCGGAGGATATCAGAAAAACGCCCCCCAGGAGAAGTGGACCAAAGGTGCAGGGACATGGTTCGAACTCGCAGACGGCAGAAGAAGCTGGCAGGCGTTCGTAGCAGGATGAAAACTTCTTCAAGACTGACACCTATGCATGTCGGTGTCCAACGAGATGAGGGAGCATTGAAGCGCCAAACCTACTAGAAATGTTTTTCCGCCCAGCTTCTAAACAAAAACAAACGATCTACGATAACAGAATCAGTTCCAGAACTTTCTAATGAGATCACTGGCAAAGAATACGTGATCGGACGGGCTGAGAGTCAAGTTGAGATAGACCCAGGGATTGTTTCCCAGCAAATGCCCACCACAGAATCTTGTGGAGGGTGAGTACGTGACCAATCTGGCCACAGTCACCCCTGGCGAGTCCATCTCTTTGCCGGTCTCTTTCCCGTTTTGCGCGGAACATCGGTCTCTATTAGCTCATTTAGTTCTACCTCATCTCTTGCAAAATAGTTCCGCCGCTTTGAGCAAGGTAATTTCCCGGCTTTCATTTCGAGAAGCTCGATCAATTCATGGCGTGCCAGCACACACCACCCTCCTTGTTTCAGCGGCGCTCAAATACAATGGAGGGCTGGCGTTATAAAAGAGTCAGGGGACGACCAACCCCCAATTCTACACAGGTCACATAACCCGCGTTTTGGCAATCACGAGGTGACCTCCCCCCTTCTCCTCAGCTGCCAGAGGTTATGACAGCATGCGTCGATCCAGTGACATGAGGTCCACGTCGCTGCAAGCGGTAGGTCCTGACTGTTATAGTGACAAAGTATACTCACCTGTAGGGTGGCGCCACAGATACACTGAGCTCCAGGCTGCTCGAGGCGTTCGCGTTCCGTGGCCCGTTCATCCCGATCTGCGCGTGGAGCGCGGGTGCCCAAGGCACGTTTGACTTCGAAGTGAAGTATGTCCTATCTCCCCATTCTTTCGAACATGTTAGGCAATATTTTAGAAGGTATCCTTGACGTGTCAGAGCATCAGCACTGTTCGCTCGGTCCGTTCACCTGCCAAGTTTCACCGTTGGAGTTCAACGTCCATTGGATCCTTCCATCCCATTCTTGACCTTGCACTGCCCCGTTTCCTGCCTTCCGAGCGGGTACGGCACGACACCCGACACAGCACCTAATGCGTGCGACCCTGACTTCCAACTCCGGATCTTTTCGGACTCCTTAACCGTTCGACGTCCAAATAACCTCACAGCTCGGATGCCGAAGTGTACGTCGACCATCGGACTTGTTGAAGGGATCGGAAAGTACTTCCTATCATCTCCCGCCTTGTTCGTCGTGGTCCGAAGTCCCGAGTGATATTACAGATCGACAGCTCCTCGAAGCCCTGGCGTGTGCCCAGTCTCTCAGGAATCGTGGTCTAGACTGTGGTGCCACTGTCGGCCGATGATGGCTCATAGCGAATTGAGCGAGAGTCCTTCAGATTTGATCTAAACTCAAATATTGAAGCAAAGGTGCGTTACGGAAATAAAGTTCCTGGCAGAAAATCATGGACCAAAATCTGCACACCAGCCAGTCACTGTGCCCGCCTCACGACCCTCCGCTGGTACCACTGATCCAAGACACGAGATAGGCCACTTCAAGTTCTTGTGTTAATCAGCAACGTCGCATTAGAATCACCTGCAATGATATTGCCTTCGCAGCGATTATTGTTAGCTACCCATCCTCAAAGCTATCTTATTGACTGTTCATTATCAGCCATCTTTTTTTAACCTATGAGGATCAATCCTCAAGCTCCGCATTGCGTTCCCCAAGCCATCGGTGCATCCATTTTTCCTGTTCATCTTTAATAGAATCCACATTGGATGATGGCGGGATCACCACCTGACGACCGCAACTCACCACGAACATTTCCAAACAACTTTTTGCTCCGCTGATTTCCACTGCTAAATGGATCACACATATCGCTGTGTGACTGTTGATCTCGCTCTCGTGATCTACGTCTTATACCCACTGGCAGTTTCACTCATTCATCCGTCGTGCAACCTCTAGTTGTCTCTCATGTGCATCTTCTCGCCTTTTCTTGATCGTCAAAGCTTTGGGGATGTTATCCATCTCGCGTTCGCTCACTCACTGGGGAGGGGAACTTCCCCACCTGGGGAATGAAGACAACTCTATCTATTCTCGGCCCCACAGTTCCAGGCGGTTTGGATAATCGTGAGATAGTGTGAGATGCGGGCAGTCAATAATCTATCTGGTGCCCGGAGCCGGCCTCCACTACGGCATCGACTCATCGTAGCGACGATTCACACCATGCCCACTCTCTCTCGTGTCTCTCGTCCACGGCATTTCTTTGAAAAATTCCTCACGGCCCCTTTGCCCTCTCGTAGGCTCCATCCAACTCTCGGTCATCTTGATATTAACGTGTGAAGGTAATTGGTGGGTGTGGGAATTGTTAAGGATCTGGCACTTGATTCCCTATGGATCAATAAGTGATCCTTCCCTGGATTCGATTTGCGTGGCCAGCTGCTAATTGTGCGGAACGTGTGTAAATTTCACGACATTACACACACATAACATACGGGACGCGGGAGTTTCTTCACATTATTCCACTATCAACTTTTGTTTTCGTATTGTTCATTTAGGCCGGAGCATGGGGGTCAGTGTTATTCCTTCTCGTGAATGGAGGGGACTTTGTCTCTGCGTTTATTTTTAATTTTCGTGGCAATGACATGATTGCGTAGTACCCACCCGATCGATCCGGCGTCGCTGAGTTGACGTTAATGTCGTGCTTAAGCTATGTAGATATCACTTATCAACTGTTCTTCGTCCTGTCAACCGAACCGTATTGATCGGGATCGATTTTCGGATGTGATCCATATTGATTTAATGTGCCTGTATTTTTGGGGTTCAGGCAATGGTTACATCGCAGTGCCCGGAAGAAAGGATCGGATGCAGGAAATTGAGAAGAGGTGTAGGTAGGGGAAGGTGAGAAGGGGGTCCGACGAGGTATGTTGCGTCTGCATGCATGTATTACCATGATCCGCTGTTGTCTTTTGATAGCGGAGAATTTTCAGCATTTGACATGCGCTTTGGATGTGCAATTGTGGTTTCTATTGCGTGATATCCCTCCCGTCCTACCTGTCTTGTACGGATGATGGTTCTTCTCGCGAGTCATACACCATGGAAGATGTACGCAAAAACATTTATAGTATGTGATTTCGCACTACAAGTAGTTTATAACTCCACGATCATGGTCTATATATGTTTGACAAGTTAGGGTTGGGCAGTGTCAGCCCACATTTCATCAACTCGACGAATATTTGCAATGTGTTTACCACTGCAATATTATGTATCACTATAGAAAAATGGCTCTACTGGTATTCCACACCTGTGCACGGTCATAACATTGATCCAAAAATTGGCAAGGTGGAAATATTTCTCCAAGAATCAGGCAGATACTACTAATTGGCCTATCCGTGCGAAGACCACCATATTTTGCGTGAGCCAGCACCGCATTATGCAAGGTTTGGTTTGTACTTTTATTGATATATCAGAGGCGACAATGACACACCGAAACTAGGCGAGGTGAGGTGCGAAATGAACGCGGGGCCGGGGATCGATGCATGGTATATAGTACTGGCAACAATGCACGTATGTACAAACAATTTTGGATGTTTACTTGTTCTCCCATCTGTCATGATTCGATCGAATATATGCAATATGCAGCTATGGAGGAGTAAATATTGCGGCTGGGCGGTACAGGCGCGCACAGCACATGAAAAATGGACACGTACTAGATCATTGTTCAATATGGGCACTGCCAGCGGAATCGATCTTTCCGCTGCCGCCACACATCGCCAACCGGAAAAACTCGAACGGTGTTGCGGGAGGTGGAAACGGAAGCGGGAAAAACACAAAAAAAGGTAAGCCTTTTTCGCGCGCGCGCGGTTCTCATAGCTTTAAGTAACCACGCAGCCATGCACGCAGATTGATCGAGAGCGAGTGCGCGCGCTCATGGGACATGCGTAAAGCCAGTTCGGAACCGACACTAAGGATATATATGCATGCACTGATTGAATCAATAACAAGCATATGTATTCCACTCACCCCCAGCCGCGCAATCCCATCATCATTATAGAAAGGTCGCGCGTACAGGCAACCGTACATGTACATATATGGTCCTTACCTCCACATCTACAAGCCGTTTTTCCGGAATTCGAGATAAGTAATATAATTGAATCAATTAAAACTCTCCCGGGTACTTCACTAGTGACTGAATATATTCAATTATACATTACATTATAGAAATGCGGAGGCGGCGCATCATGCGCATGGTGGGCGCCAGGCGTCTTGATGCGCGCAGTATGACTGCGAATGTATATAGCGCGCGCGATGTGGATGAGATCGCGAAGGAGATCATGTCATGGTCGACAATTTTATTTATGTGGGTTCATTTAATTAAGCGCCCGCTAAGGGATCATACATAATATAATTCGACGCGAATTGTAGACTGAGTGAGCATGCACAAGGAGAAGGAGCTGGACGAACCTAAACGGGGCTGTGAATAAGCTAAACTTGATCGATTAGTGAGATGACTCTCGTATACTATTACATGTGTGGCGAAGATATCATGTATTAGCTAGATCGAAGACTTGGTGTTAGTAATAGTGCGTGAATCAGTCAGCTGCCATTATATACTGCACTTTTTTTTTGGAGATTGAGATATAGAGCCAGCCATTGCGCGCGGATAGATTAAGGGGTGGTGGTGAGTTTGTGAGAGTGTGTGTGCGCACGCGGTAAAATGCATGAACATCGTAGCGATTCGGTCATTGTACTCATGCTATGCCATGTCATGTCATGTTCAGGGCCATCAAAAGTGGCCCCCATCAGACCGAGCCAATTGATACACCTTTTTTTTTTTGAATTTAGACAATGACGATCAGTTTTGAGCATGCATGGATTAAAGATAATGTCATGTACGCACGCAAAAAGAAAAGAAAAGCAAAAAAAGACCGACCATGAGGACATCGATCGATACTTGCATGATTCATATATATGATCATCATCGATCCCGGCCATCCAACGCGCGTTGTACATTACTTTGAAATCCATCGGGGATGTACGTTACGGCTCATTCGGATCAAGCACAAGCGCAAGCACAACTAACGTCGGTACAACGGCACGAATCTGCAACTCTCAACTGGATACACATGTGGAATTGGTCTTGATCGCGGCGACGTAACGTTTGCTGAGCTGATAATAATGATATATATATGGTAGACGTAGAATCATGCAAGAATGCAATGGAAGTCGACCGAGTGTTCCGACCCGGAGTGTCAACCCGATCGAAGCGAAGCAAAAGGGTTCGATTGATACTTAACGGGCCCAATACCGGAATCGGACATCAATATTAAGCCGGGATTGGAAATGGGGTTTTTTTTTTGGTTAACCCGTAGGCGGAGACAGGTGGGTTGCTGTTGCTAAGAATTGATAAAGACGTTGAAGGGGGGGGGGAGGGTTTCGGGCTCGGGCTTGGTGGGTTTGTCTGTGAAAAAACTATATATGGACGTGCATGTTGCACAAGGGGCATATACGACCGAAATGAACATACCATCGCGAGATTCTCCGATGTGGAATTGATTGAATCGGGAATCTGAATTTGATTAGTAAAAGAGGTTTTAGAGCTGGGGTGGTGGTGGTGATAGTAAAAGGGGGAAGCATAAGGAGTAGAAGCTAGTAGCTGGATGGGTAGGAGCAAAGAAGAAGATGCCGGTACGGAAAGGAGAAAAAAGGGGGGAGTTGAAAGGGTGAGCAGAGCAGGGCCGGGTGCATGTGGGTGTGAGATGCGTGGGCATGTGAGACCAAGGATCGGGCATTCCATCGTGTACTCGGCAATATTTTGTAGATACGCATAACATTACCATTGCTTATTGATGCAATATGCCCAAAATGTCAAGAGCACACTCGTTTAGCTGTGGTTCTTTCTTTCTTCTTCCCTCCCCCCCCCCCCCCGGATCGTTGTGCATGAATGCACTGCCATCAGGCGGCCGAAGCTGGGCACTTAAACCTTTTGAGGAGTTTCTTTGGGGGGGGGGGGGAGCCGATATTGTACCGGGAGAGGTGCAAAAGATGTGCAGGGGCGCAAAAAAATTGCAAAAGAATAATTTGATTAAGTAGGGTCTTGTCGCTGTCCGAACTCTTTGCGCTGACAGCTCTCTCTTGAACCCATCCGTGTATATATTGCTGAGATCCGGGTGTGCAGTGATTATTTTGTGATTTTGGTGGCGTGACACCGGTGCTGGCGTTCCGTTTTGCGATGCCAAGGGGTTGTGTGTGTAAGAGAGAGGGATAGTGAGTGGCTTATGTAAACTTGCGCAAGCGGGGGCTCACTTACGGTTCTAAACCATTACATCATTCACTCGTTGAAAGGTTGTCGCGGCGCTGTGCAGGTGAGATCGCATAGGCCGCCGCCTTATGAATCATCATATGTGTAAATAAATGTCAAGGGCGCCAAGTGTGTGTGTGTGTGTGTGTGATATCTGATATGAACTTTATTTTTGTAATTTGGAACGAGATCCAGTAAGTAATGATAGGAGTAGAGAGAAATCAAGAAAATGCTCAATGAAATCGGTTGTTGCAATTGAACATCTTGGCGAGGGAGGCCGGTGCCTGTCTAACCCTTAACATCATCGGGTAAAATAGCATTATCATGTTTGGATATCAGACGAGCGCGCACCTTTGATAAGGATTAGTACAGGGCAGCTGAGCGAGCGCGTCATGATGCGCGCTTAGGGATTGCGCAAGCGTAAGCGATATATATATGGGGACGAATGATCATGTTACTGCATGCATGCATGCATGCAAAGAGGTGGATACGGGTTAGCCCTCCATGCAGCATGAACAAAAAGGCTGTGTCATGTGTCATATATATATATCTGTATAGCGCCGGCAAATCGTGAAGCTTGCATGCTCTGCTACGGACGCAGCAACCACTGCTGCATTGCATGCCGGCAAAAAAAAAAAAGCAGATCGAGCAAACAACGTTAGCGACATGAGGGGCGCATGCTTCCCGCAACCGGCTGCGGTTCAGATGCGGTAGGAGCTAGCCTGATCCGATGCTAATTAGGGGATTTGCGTATGCGGTGAGGCCAGGTGTTTCGTTTTAGGCAAAAAAACTCGTGTTGATCACTCCGACCCTGCATTGATCATATTATTGCAATGTTCATTGTGTGTGAGTTTAAAAAAAAAAAAAGTATGTAGCTAGTTACAGTTATGTATGTGTGTGTGTGATTATTGTACGGGGCACACGGGTACTTCGGACGCTGGTGGTTTGGGGTTATCATATCGGGATTGGGGGAGCGGAATTCGAATGGAAATAGGAAATTGAACGGAAGTTGGGGATCGAAGACGGAAATTCGAAGTTGGATTGCATGGAAGGTAAGGATACGACGCAAGGAAGCCTCGTTGGGTTGAGATGTTCAAGCACTTTTTTTTTCTTATTTTCTCTTTTGGCACTTGGCGTTGTACATTAATTGTATGATAGGGACGGTTTGTGTGTGTGAAAGTTTTGCGGGCAGCAAGACGAGTAATTTTTTTCGCGCGTGAAGGGGTTACGCGCATGATCCAAGGAAGCGGAACGGAACGAAAGTTGCCGGTCGCATCACACAGTTGTTATCGGTTGAGATGGGGGGGGAGATCGATTAGGATGGTTGGGGCGCTCTGGACGGGAGATTGCGGCACTTGGCCGATGGATCCGCGTCCACGGGTTACCGTAAAGGGAATGGAAGGTCTGGTTGTGTGCGCTAATCAGAAGAGTGAGTTAGGCGCTCGCGTGGGATGATGAGGATGGAGGGGAGAGGTATAGTAGTAAGGTATATGCGTGTAAGTGTTTACGCATAACTGTGTATTCAAGTGTGCACAGGCGATTACGCGTCGGTAGTTTCCCGCAACTCTGCCACATTGCGCAGTTGCGTTCATCTTTCCGGGTGGTCGTTACATTTTGGGAAGCGAATCCGCGCGGCGCCCGGATAGTTTTTCCTTCTCAAGTCAAACAGCGCCTCCACCACGCAATAACTTGGACACGAGGCCGTCCCAGCGCAGCAGCATATTTTTTTCTTTCTTTTTTTGGCTTTGATCGTTACACAGCACACAACTGTAAGGTCGACACCGCGGCGCAGACTGAGACCATGGTGAAGGAACGGACCAAAGCGCTTTGTTCACAAGCAGAGAATATTTGTGAGACTATTTTTTAATCGCCCCCTCCAGTTATCTTTTATCATGGGGCAAAGATATGATTTTTTTTATCAAAGCACGGGAAACTTTATTGATTTAGGACCGTGATAAATCAAGTGCATTGCCTCAATCGGGTGATATCTATTCATTTTAACTGAATAGGTAATTCCATTTTTGTTTTATTCTCACAAGCAAAACAAAAAAACAAAATGGAAAAATGGAAAAAATGACCAAGTCCGAAAGGAGTCACACGCATTGAATTTATAATAATTGATTATTCCCGCGGGGCTTCCTTTCCGAGGTCGCAGCTTCGCCTGGGCCCAGCGTCATCTTACTCTCTCTCTCTCTCCCCCGCGTCTACTACTTAAAAGCACACCTCAAATGCACCAAGCGCTCAACTATCTCCCCTCCTCTCAACCCATCAAAGCGCCTCCCCCTTCTCCCCCTAGTCATTTGCGCTTCCTCTTTCCGTGCGCTTATCAAGTGCTACTTGCCTCACCCCTCACTCTAGTCATTCACCGTCGCTTTGGCAATTCCATCCAGTCCAAAGCACTCTTCGAGTCATAACAAAAAACAGCTTTCAAAGCGAACATCCGCGCCCTTATCTCAAACCTTTGGTGAGTATCTATAAAGCCCGGACCCGTGTCCCTTGTCCCTTGCCCCTGTGTCCCCCTCCTCCCCCCCCTTTCCTCAAATCCTATATCAAACTTGCGTGCTAACTCATCTTATCCCCTTCTTACCAGTCAACTTGCAATGGTTGCACTCGTAGCACACAACAACAACCAAGTACCCGCGTTCCCCTACACCCTCTTACCACCACCACCACACGCTTCCTCCTCCACATCATCACCTCATTACTACGGATCATCATCATCATCAAGTTATAGATCCGCTTCAACTTCGGACCCCTCTAGGCGTCGACATGTTCTCGCTCAACATCGATCGAGACGACTTTCAGCCATCTCCGGTGGTCTCGGCACCGGCCTCGGTGCCGGGATGGCGTATCATATGACTCCTCCTCCCAGTCTTACCACCAGCGATGGTTTCTCTAGCGATGAAGAAGACGAGTTGGACGATCAGTATGCTGCTTCGTCGTCCCGAAGACGATCCATCGACTCTGAACGATCCTTTGGATCTTCTCATCGTCGTAGTGCTTCCATCTCTTCTACCCGCACTCCAACTTCCTCTTCAACCGCGTGGTTCAATCAATCATCATGCAATTCCTTGTTCCCTTCTTATTCCCCTCCAGATCCTTCGTCCCCTTTTACCGAAGATTATCATTACATGCATCAAGGATGCCAACAGGAGGATGAAATCTTGTACGAGGATGATGGGAAGAACAAGTATCGAGGTGTGAGGATATTCCGTCGCCGCGGTGGGTCGATATCGTCAGAATTGAGCCGGGTGGAGTCGAGATCCGAGTATGATGAAGATGATTATCGGCAGTCTCATTCGTCGTGAGTTTTTTTTTCTTTTCACTAACTCGCGATTCTTACACTTAACACACACTCTCTTTGGCATTCAGAGCGAGCTGCTGGGACTCTCTTTCGGTCCGTGTTCATCTGGGGGTGTACCGTGCAAAGAAACGGATTGCGAACAAGTTGATGCCTTCGAGCGGTGCAAAGGGTCAATAACCCTAAAAAATCCTACGGCACTATTCGATTCCTTTCTCTTCCTATCGCATCGCATCGTTTATATCGGTTCAATCTATCGCATCTATCGCATCTATCAGTCTCAATCCATCCATCTGTTTCCATTTTATCCCAATCTTGCAATTCATCTCGGTCCCGATTCCCATTTTTCACGATGGATTTGGGAACTTGACTCGACACGACTCGACACGACGCGACACGACTGCAACGGATACCCCCCAAACATGCATTCCTCCAACCCTCCTGAAACCTGACCTGTGCTCAAACTTTTTTCTGCCTTCTTCGTTCATCATCATCACCGCCTCAATCGATTTCGTGTATCAAGTTATTATCGGTTTTATCACAACAAATCAAGCAAGCAAGGAAGCAAGGCAAATCCTCCTTTTTTTGTTTTTCTCTCCCCTTCTGGTTTCCAGTTTCTTCCCCTCTGCCCCCCGCGCGGTTAGCTTCCAACCATTTAATCTGTACAGCGACGACGGATCTTCAGATCTTCTTTCATCTGCGGAATCGCCACGCCACAACACATCAATCTGTATCATTAGCCCCTTTCCCCTCCTCCCAAGACTCCTTACGCCCGCATATCCACGCCTCATGACAACGCGGCGCCCCCCTCCCTTCCCTTCCCATATCCATCTGCATGCCCCCGCTTTTTGGTTTCTTTGCTTTTGTGAACTCGGTTTCTTGTAACTCCTTTTTTTTTTTGTTAACACTTGCTCTTCGAGCATCGGGCGTCGACTGTTAGTACAGAGAAAGCAACCGCCTTTCGGTCACGCATCATGGAGGCGCGGGCGCGGAAACGGCGATGTTTTTCTTGTTTGTTTGTTTGTTTGTTCGGGTTCGGCTTCTTCAAATCACACTTTTTTCAAATCACACACACGCATACCACAAGCACGGTTTAACCAACATGCATGCAGGACTTTCTCGGCGGACTTTCTCTTTTCTTTCTTTCACACAACATTCCGGATATCTATCTAGTTTCCCCCCCCCTTTTCTGTGTTTCCTTCCCCTCTCCCTCCACACCCCCCTTTGTATCGGATATCGTAGTTTCCGGTTCGCCACACACCATCAGTTTTCCTTTGTACCGGTGGTTAACACCGCCGGTTCCTCCATCCGGACTTTCACAAGCTATATTCATAAATCCGGTACCTTCCTTTATAACTCCTAGCTTCACCTTAGCTCCTCATCTTTACTTTTATCGCCTCCTTTTCTCTTGCTTGGATGTTGTGCAAATCAAGTTTGAATATAACAAATTTCATTCGGTAAACATAATAAATGGCTGTGGTTGAGGCGTTTGTGTGCGGTTCTTGATTGGGCGTAAAAAGACGTTGTCGTATTTTTTCAAACATTTACTGGGTACTTGGGGGATCCGTGGGGCGGCGCAAGTACGTACGTGGCAGTGAGTTGACGCGTTAGCGGGGCAGTGTGTGGAGAACTTGCAATTATGTAATATTGATAACGAACACCCTCCCCCACTCCGGGTAACACCGATCGTTCTTCCTCCTTCCGGCCGGCTTGCTTGCACCTCACACCGCCCGTTAGCCGTTGCCGTGCGATCGATAACACATGCATGACGTAAATATATACATACATAAACACGCCGGGTGGAAGACCGTATACATATGTATGTTGATTTTTGATCTCGGGATCCGTCTCATATGCCGTTTGTGCCGGCCATAACTTCAACTGCGTGGCCGGGGCCCTTGCAGCCACTTGGTTTGGATCGATCATCGAAATATTGATGATGCCGTTGACGCGTAACTACGCATATGTATGTGTGCTATGTATATCATGGTACCACTAATTACTTATCTGATTACAGGCTTGGTGTGTATGAGGAGTAAACTATTCATGGAGTGGGCGACAAACTTGTACGTAGTTAACGTGATGTCGATATGGTAATGCTACGCAGAATTTATGGTTTTGCAGCCTTCCCCAACCCCCCACCCCTATAACATCTTACTGCCAAAGTACTACCTATATACTCTCGGCACTTCTACTGAATCTCGCTAGCGTCTTTACTTACAATCCCTGTTCAAAGTCAAATATCTTTGTTTTTGTTTTTGTTTTTCACCGGAAAGTTGTTTCTCACCCCCCCCCCCCCCTCTCCCGCCCCCAACTAGCTGGCCGTTTCTCATCGCACTTTTCGCATTGTACATATTATTACCCTCGTTTGTAGATCTAGATCTAGGTCAACTGTAATCAGTAAATTCGCACGAACGAACTGTGTTTTTTTTTTTTTTATTTCTCACCTTTGCATCATGGATCCCGCCCTGATACTCCTAGACTTATCTACACCATGACCGGGTCCCGGACACTTGGGGGGGTCAATTGCATTTTTTTTTTACGCAGTCGGGGACTCCGGGCCCGAGTCACCACTTGGTCGAACATTTTGATTAAGCGCCCATGGATGGATGTACGGATTTGTGTTTCTGTAGGTAGGGCCGTAATCGACGGGTGCATTCGTTCGAACATTATCTTTTGGGCCAAAGTCCACTACTTCCACATCCCACGCCCACGTTGAGTGTAGTTGTTGTGTGTGTGTGTGTGTTGGGGGGATGCAGGTGCCGGTGTGGGGGAGGTTGAATTGCTCTTTTGGGAATGGGCTGGGAAAGAAAACCGGGAAGAGGGCTAGCTTTTTTCACATGAGTAGTTAGTTATCCTCATCGTGGTAATTAGGCCCAGGGTGAAGGGAGATGGACATGATGATATTCATGCGTGCTTGCGTTAACGCGTATGTATTATACGTGTGTGCTTGTACGTGCAACGCCGTGGTTGGCTTCTTGAATTCCTATGTTCCAAAGGCAAGGCCGAAACGGAGACGTCTCCGTGCAAGCATACGCCATGAATGGCTGACGCATAATTGCGTACGTACCCCCCTGTCGTTTTGGGTGCGGTGGGAACTTGGGAGTTGGAATTACAAGTGTGTGTATGTGCATAAGTAGCGGGAACTACTATTTTCCACGGAAACTCACTTGCACAACCGATGGGAGCTCGGCATTTGAGTCGAATCCTAAAAGGAGCTGACCTCGGCACTTGACGCATAGATCCCCCCAGCTATTTAATTATACCCTCGGCGCGGGTGACCTGAGCAATACGCGTTCGTAGATCCCAAATTGAGATACAAGTTGCGTCATACACTTGTACGAAGCATAGTAAGCAATTATATTGAGCCGGCCAATGCGCCGCGTGTACGCAGGTGACCAGCGCCGCGTGCGGGGGTGCCGATGCAAGGTAGTTGTACATAACTCGCATGGCGCGGTTGAGTATTTTTATGGCTTGGGGGGGGGGATTAAAGGACCCATCAGGATCCCGGCCGTTATCGATCAATCGTCATGAGCGCTTACCTGCGGTGGAGTTAGGCACAACGCCAAATTGCGCACTGTATGGGGGTAACTTTCCGCACTAGCCGAAGGAACGACCTGCCATATATGCGTAGTACCGGGGTTGTTAAGCCAAGGACTTGTGACTTGGCGCACAAGAAGGTTGGGAAGATACATTCATTGAGGTCGCTGGGCCGAGTCAACATAATGGAAGCGTAGATTCGCATAAACTCGCCGAAATACCTGCCATATTGAGTAGGACTTGTGACTACGCGCTCAAGAAGACTGGGGGGTAAAGCGTTCATTGCAGTGGCTGCGCTGAGTCAGCTCGCATTGGGGCGGCTTCGTACACTGGCCGAAATACTTGCCATATTTGTGGCTTCGCGCAGATAAGTGGATTGGGGAGAATGCATTCATTGCAAAGCGCGCATAAGTTGGGTGTGCGCCTACGTACACCTCGTGGGAATCGGACCACATAATTTGGATCGTGAACATCGGAAGGAAAGATGAATTTCGCGAGGTGCGAAATATAATATGAACTGGCACTCGCGAGTCGTGAAATGCTGAGCCCGAATCATATTGGGAGTCTAAAGCGCCTAAGATAATGTGGGGCGGGTGCAAACTTTCTTCGAATATTGTAGCAAAAATTCCGGACGAACAGCTTGGGATTTGTCTTGAAGTTGTTGGATGTGATATTATATACAGTCATTCACCCCCCAATGGTGCGGATTTCACTAATCCGGGCCTCAGTGTAACGAAGTTCCATGAAAAAAATTGATAAATTTGAATAACATGAAGAACGTAAATATGAATCAGTGGCCGGCAATATTTTGAGTGGAGTCCTGTCATGAAGTGAGTACGGGAGTGAGTATGAAATGGGCGCTTTCACCCCTCAGTGGTATCCTGTGACAGAGTGTGACAGTGCGTTCGCACGCTCATGTTGGACCCCCGCTGACCCCATCAGCCACTTGTTCAGCACACCCTGGCACCTCCGGCATTGCAGGGGGCTTGTTCTGCTGGAGCTGTGGATAATTCTGAGCCATCCAACCCCTCATTCGGATTTCCGATGGCTTTGCCGGCACTCTTTGTTTGAGCGCAACTAAGCGCGCTTTTTCCTCTCGCCATTTCGCCACCTCTGCTTTCTGTGTCTCATTGAACTTTCTCCATCCCTCCTTGGCCTCCTCCTTCAGCTTCTCCAGCTCGGCCTCATCCAGCCTCCGTTGAGTGCGCTCAGCTTGATCCCTCAGAAAACCTTCATGTGTCACAACGCGGCCGAACGTTCCCTTGATACGTCCACCTTCCTCTTTCTCTTTTGACTTTTCCAATTCCTCCCGCGCTAGAAGTTGTGTCTGTGATTTAGACACATACATTCCTCCCAATGCCAACTGGGCATTTGCTGCATCCACCACATTAACGGCTCTTTCTACCAGTGTCTTTGCCTTCCAAAACTCGTGTCGCATTTCGTCAATCTCCTTCATCAATTCAGGGTGAGTCTTGTGCTCTGAGTTGTGATCATGTATCAGATCCCAATTGATAGGAGGAAGATCGCTGAGGTGCCCATATGCGCGTTCGGGTAGTTTAAAGGTTGAACAAAGAGGTGAGGAAGATACGATAGAATTTGAGGATGAGGAGAATGACATGATATGTTCCAGGTCATCAACAGCACGCTTCTTTGCCCGAGAGTAGGAAGGAGGGAAGGTAGGAGTTTGACAACAAGCGTTGACTGTTGCAGCATCTGAGCCAGAAGGTTGCGGTGGCGTGCGGACATGTGTTGTCTGAGACACAGCAAACAATAAGGGATTAATGATCGGTCCGTCACACTCATTATTATCCACTTCGCTGTATGTTCCATCATGACCCCCTAGGTACATCTGAACATCCTGCGAGTCATCCATCGGTGAGGGGGTATCATCGCGCTGGTACACACGGGCCATCAGCTGACCATGAAAGTGCATAATGCGCTTAACAGGTGAGGTCACAGGGAGGGGAAGGTCTCCCCGGGTGGAATGTTCAATGCTTGGAGCAAGTTGTTCAGGGTGGATGACAGATGGATTAACAGGGTAGACACCAGTCACTCGGAAACTGGTGATAATGTGAGTTGAGTTCACGGCCTCCATCCATGCGCGGCCAAAGACCAATAAGAATGATGACTTGTTCAGTTTTTTGGGGTAATTCTGCAAGTTGAATGCGTCCCGTTGTTTAGAGAAGCTCCGCTTCAAGAGGGAGAATATGACGACATCGAGTCCTTGAAGGACATGAGTTGTGTGTGCAGGATAACATATAACGACAATATTGTGGTTGTGTGCATAGGTTATAAAGTCAAGGCTGTAGTGCGAGTTATGTCCATCCACTATGAGAAGACGGGGGTGGCCAGCGGCTTTTCCCTGTGTAGCAGCATTAAGAGTTTGAAGCCAATCAAGGCCAATCTCATTGTCTGTCCACCCTTTCTCTGAGACAGTGACCCTAGAAAGTGGAAGTATAAGCATGTGCAGTGATATTATGGATAAGAAACTCACGCGGCCTCCAAAGGATTGTCCTTCAACCACTTGGAGTTCACATTCTGCCCTTTAAAGATGACGACTGGAGGCACTGAAGTGCCATCTGCACAGACAGTTACAATCACGCTCACATTCTCGCGGTTCCCATCACGTTGAATGTGTGCTATTTTTGTCATCTTGCGTGCAATGACTTTGGCCTTTTGTCCTGTCCCAAATGGGAAGCCGCTTTCATCCATTGCGTAGATATCCTCACGTCTAAATTTGAAATGGTCATACTGAGCTTGTAACAGCTGGAACCAGTGTCGCACAGCTGCAGGATTTACAGCACCACCCCGAATACTTTCAAGGTTGGTACTCCACTTGGCATCAAGTCGGTTTTTGTTGCGTACTAGAAAGCCGTCAACCCAATTTTTACCGAGCCCAGTAAGGTTTGGGTGGCGTATCTGGGCAACTTCCAAGGCATATTCCTTCACACGATCACGGGTAGCAGGGAATCCACGGTCAGACATAAGGAGAAGGAATTCCACCAGGGTGTCACTCTCAATCTGATTCAGCCACGACCGGTTTATTGAGGCCTCGAGCCGACTTTTCCCACCACTCAGCCTCCGCATGAATGTAGAATAGGAAACATTACAATTAGAAGCATGTTCCCTGGTGCTGGGAGCTTTTTTGTGATTTTGTGTTGCATCCAGGACCTGAGATCTATATGAAATGACGGTGTTCCGCATGTGCAGCTCTGCTGCCTCAGCTGCAAGCTGCCTACGGCGCTCCAAAGAGTTGGCATGCCGGACCATTTGTCAAAAGAAGCAAGCAAAGCAATATTGGGGTCGGGGGATGTGGGAATGGTGATTTAATTTACAGATTGTTCGGGTAACGGATGAAAACATGCTTCCGACTTAGGTTCCGTGTCTCATCAAAACAAACAAATACTGGCACGTGTAACACTGGCCTTTTGCTCACTAGCTGTCTGGCTAGCTATTGGTAAGATGAAGAGAGCAATGAAACTGGAGTGGTTAAGTTGCAAGCATGGCGACTCCTCACACCCAAGTTCCCTATGTTTCCTCGATTTTTTCCTTTACTTCTTGCCCGCTTGACATCAAACTCGGTACATAAGTAGTCCTAGCAACGACTTATATACATGCCAAATCTCATCACAAAGGGTGGGGGGGCTCGGAAGTTATGTGGTGATTTATCATTGGGGGGTGTGTCTCATTGAGGGGTGAATGACTGTATACATTATTGTTGTAATGTAGGGATTCCTGATAAGGCAATTGTTGAAATCTTGGTTTTCTTGGGAGTTATAGTGCGCTGTGGCCAACTCACAATGTGATGTTGAGCTAGCGGCGCTATATTTCCTTTCTTGGTATTCCTGCTACCAAAGTCAGCAGGCTAGTCAGCCAATTAACCCACCCTATCAAGGGGTGTTTTTTACGCTTCAAATAGGGCCTAAACGGCCTATTTCAATGTGGACGTCCTGGGATGTCCTGGTGATGCGGCTTGCTGCCAAAAATGGACTGTGGGAAAATATGAGGATGTCCTGATAACTATGTGCCCCGCGATGTTGTACATACAGCTATTTACATAAATAGTAGACAGGAAAATGGAGAATATTAAGGGAATTATGGCCGAGGCGGGGGAATGGCCAATGTTTCTCAATGATTTCGAGCATTATACTCTGCCATGGTGCTTTCAAGGGGATTTTTAATGCTTATAAAGATTTTGGAGATTTTACAAGCCATTGTAGATAACCATATCCGGTACTATGGGTAGCTTGAGAGGCTGGCATCTCTGTCAAATCTCCACCGATTTGGAAAATCCATCACTTACAAGTACATACAAGCTCTGGCCAACATTCTGTAAGGAAATGTATAACCTCATAGCTAGGTATCAGAATGAAGAACACACATGTTATGTTGCATGTAAGCATATATATTACCACATTCAAGTTCTAACATGTGTTGTCATGAATATTCACCGAACATGGATTACATGGGAAAAGGGAAAGAGTCGACATTCAGAGTCTCTCAGGAGCCTTAAAAATATGGAAAAATATCCTGAGTGCCCGTGGAGAATATTCTTCCTATAGTATCAAGTTTGAGAGAAATCGATGGCATTTTTGTCAATATATTTACAAGTTATGCCGATTGATGGCAACACAATGAATAAAGTT